TCTCCGCCGTCACTGCTATTGTGGTCACTAATTCATACTTATTATCCTAACATGATATATGGCATAAGCTCAGACCTATATAAAATGGCATTAAATTTTATGTGGCATAATATTGAGTATGTGTGTGCAAACAACATTTTCTAGGTAAGAAATGCTTTGCATGAATGTGCTAGGATAATACCCTTTATTATTATCATTTAATTATTATCTATCGAGATGGTTTAGAAAGTAGACCAGTGGGTTGTTTGCTTGTTTTAATATCCTTTTACACAAGTAGCAATAATCCATATAATAATCATATAATTTTGATGATAAAAGTTACTTAGGATCACTGGTAGAGAGATAACCACTCTGTCACAGTCAGAAGCAACAAAGAGTAGGCTTGTAGCTGGGGAACAACCAGAGGACATCGTGTCAAGGGGGTCAGGGGATACAGCAGGAGATGACAAGAAGCCAGAATACCCAGAATACCCGTGTGCGGCTGGCCCGACCGGTAATGTGTTTACTAGGACAAACCTGCCACCTAAGTTCAGTCTCCTGGAATCTACAAAAAGGTGGAAGGAGGGACCCAACCCCTGAGCATTGTTTTCTGAGCTCCACTCACGTGTTCAGGCACACACACACACAATGAACAGTTTTAAAAAACAAACTTTCTAAGAACCAGGGTGAAGGGAAGCATGGGCTAAGCATAGTGAAAGAGGAGAAACAGAGAGTACCCAGCGTAAGAATTCTGTATCAACAGGAAAGGAGAAGATGTGAGAAGCAGAAATAACCCCAGGCATGATGGTACACACCTGTAATCCCAGCACTTGGGAGGATTGAGAGTTCAAGGCCTCTAGGGAGAGCTACCTGGGGAAAGCTTGTGTCAAAGAAGATAGGGATCCCAGGGAGTGAGAGGCAGGGAGGGAGGAGAGGGATTCCAGAAGTAGGGCAGTGGGAGAACAGAACTGATTGCACAAGACCTGTGCCCTGCTTAGAGCTAGTATAAATATGGTAAGATCTATTTAAGTATATGGAAAACAGAGACAGAAATATAATGGGCCCAGTCTTTCCTACCCACTTCAAGAGTGGTTTATAACATGTTTATAAACATGTCGTCCTGTTTCCTGCACCTTCATCGCTTCCCTTTCTTGTGCTATCCTGAAACTACAAACATTATCTTATTTCACTCAGAAACATTTCATTAGATAGCCCCCCAAATGAGACCTTGTGTGTTAGTATAAAATATCAACTGGGTCATCAGAATGACCCAGGCCTCTAATCCCAGTACTCAAGAAGATTTGGCGACAGGGAGGTTACTAGGTCAAGGCCACTGGAGTTGTTATATAGTGAAACTTCATCAAAAATAAAAGTTTCAAACACATTGTATATGTGTGCTTTAAGTTTGATTAAGTGCTCACAGCTTTCTTTGGTAATTCATGTTCATAATTCTCTTTAACGTGGAGGTTTTCCCACTACCTTTTATTCCTTGCAGTGTGTTTGTTGAGGTCATCAAGTTGTTTGCAGACAGTATGATTAGCCTTGTCTGGGTTTTGTTTTCTGACTGTCCCAGTAGTGTATTTTCATATTCTCTCCTGAAGATTGGTAATTGGAAACAAGGTGACTTGATTGCATTAGGGTTCTTTTTTTTTTTCATTGTGTTTGATTTGGGGTTTGGGGTGAAACTTGACTATAGTGCATTCTTTTCTTGAGACTTACCTTTAGTTCATGTGTGTGAGTGTTTGGCCTGCACATATGTATGTGTACCACGTGTGTGCCAGGTGTCTACTGAGGCCAGAATAGGGTCTCAGGTCCCCCAGAACTGAAGTTACAGCTTGTCACACACAAGGGTGTGCAAAACAAGGGAGACTCCTCTGCAAAGGCAGCAGGTGCTCTTAACTGCTGAGCCATCTCTGTAGCTGCATGGTGTTCTTTTAACAGATGCTTCTAACAAACATTTGACTCTCTATAGCAGAGTAGAAATACGACTCTTTGGGAAACAGGACAAACAGCAAGGCATGGAAGCACACCAAGCATATTTTTTAGGCCAATTTCGCACCCTATCTTTACATCACTGAAAGGAAATGAATGAAAACTAAGATTAAAAAAATTATATTAAAAGAAAATAATTTCTTAAGTCAGAAACACACCTACTGAATGTGTTTTATGAACAAAGTGACAGAGAAGAGAAAGAGAGAGAGAGAGAGACAGAGAGAGAGAAGGATTGGGGGTGACATGTTTGTCTTCTTGTGTCATTGCATCATGTTATGTTAACATATAATGTTAATGATCACATTAGCAAAGGTTGTAGGCAAGGCTTACAAGGTGGGGGATGAGGAAAAGCACTTCCAACAGTAGAAGAGGGGATGGAGCTTCTACTAAAGATGGTGTTCTTCCAGTGAGCCTGAGAGAAGGGAGAGATGGAGGAAGGAAGGACTCATGGGGCCTACTAACTATAGAAAACTGGCAGATGTTGATGATTAGTTTCTATGGAGCTGAAGAAGAGGAAGAAACAACGGATGACTTGAAGCTTCAGTGGGATGTATGGATGATGGTGCTGTTCCTTGGTGTAGGAAAACTACTTAGGAGAGCGGGCTTAGGCTGCAGGGCTTCAGCAACTGGCTGAAGGACTTCCAAGCTAGAGTAGGGGAGGGGGGAGTTCCAGGTACGAGACCACTGAGGTACAGTCATGTCTCTGATACTCAGTAGAAAGACCTGGCTTAGATAGAGATTTCACCATGGATATGACCAATGTTGAGCTATTACAGGGTGTTGTAAGAACTTATGGACTCAGTCACAAACAAATGTAGAGTAAGAGGAAATGAAGAAAGTCAAAACATAGAGACAAAAAGCATCATTGCTTACAGGGGAAACTACAAGAACATAAAGTCACAACGGAAACTGTAGGACAGTGACCGGAGGGACAACAAGTAGGTCAGGAGGTGTTTCCTATGAAAACAAAGAAGATGCAAGAATGGCAAAATGGCCATTAAGGTGAAGAGCTATATAACAACTCTCATGAACCTGATATTTGGGAGTTTTTAGAGAACTTCTCATGAAAACATGGCAATACAAGACATAATATCAATGAAGAAAATTGGAAAGGATAAGAAGTAGAGCCAGTGAATGGAGGCTTTTTCCTTAATCTGTGGGAAAAAGGATTATCTTGTGTCAATGTGGAAGATTTGGACAGGCAATTGTTGTGGGACAAAACTTTTCCTGAGGAGACACTATACACGTGTCTCTCCCTAGATAAGGAACCCAAGAGAGACCAAACTATAAATACCCCCAAAGTCCAACGTGGTGAACCAATGTATTTTATTGGGTTTCTTAGAGGAATATGCATGAGGGGTTACTTACAGGAGCAGAAATGATTCAAAGACCAAAGCCTACCCCAGCATGGAAGACAGCTCCCCAAAGCTGGGAACCCAGAGGACACTGCACAGCCTGCAGGTAGCTCCGCAGATGAAAAATGTCTTCTTTGCAGCTTGGCATGTTTCCTCTGGGGGAATGGGGGTGAATTTAGTCAGTGTCAGGGACTTCCTGAATCGATGGTGGTGACTTGCTTTCGTGCGGGATAGAATGTTTCAGAATGTGTCAATCTCTGAGGACCTGTTAGACAACAGCAAGAAAAAGTCTTCGTCTTATTACGGGTAGCAGCAACTTGCACTGAAGGAGAAAACCAAGAGTGATTATCTTTAGGTGTGAGGATGAAGAAAGGAGAAGAGTATAACTACCATGACAACACACGGAAAAGGGAGCTAGTGGAAGACGCAAAACTTCTAAGAAGGTGGATGTAACAGGATATAGGTAGAGAAAATGGTGGGCTGAAGGTAAGCATAGCTCAGCTACAGATACGTTTGTGTCCTGAGGGGATATATCTCCATAGAAATCATTTTTTCAGTTACTTCTCTTTCATCAGTTCTGATTTCCTAGGAGAGAAGATGAGATCATTTTTGAAGAAAAGCGGGCAAGGTTTTGAATGGTATCAAAAAGGATGAGTCAAGAAAGGTGGGCTAGGAAGAAGAGCAAATGAGATCATTAGTTGGGGAGCTGAGATTGGAAACCAGTTACTTGTAATGCCTGGAGTAAGAGCGGTTGACTGTTTTCTACACATTTACTCACTGGTCTCAGGAATGGGGCGCATAGCTGGCTACATAACTTTCTGAGACCTTGTGAGTCCCATGTACCGATGCTGCTATTAAGCAGAGCTGGGGTAAGCACTGGAGAGGAAGGACACACATGGAGTTCAAGCATTTGATGGAAGTGAAGCTGGTGTAATCTATTTCGGAAGGTGGATTAAGTCAGGGGTAGGAGTAAATTCTTCCTGAGTGTGTGCCAGAGAACCAATGAAATGCTGGCAGACTCCCCGTGTTGAGTAACTGACTACAAATGGGCCTGTTAGTCCCCAAAAGCAATGAACCCATTGAATGTGTCCACTGTGAATAATAGATGGTGCCAGTGAGCAGTGGGTGGCACACACCTTTAGTCCCAGCACGTGGAAGGCTGAGGGAGGCAGATGTCAGTGGGTTCAAGGCCAGTCTGGTCTAAAAAGTGGATCCCAGGACAGGACAGTCAGAACTCTTACAGAGACACCCTGTCTTGAAAAACAAAAACAAAACAAAACAAAACAGAAACAAACAATAAAGAAAGAATGGACGGTGCCGAGCTTGAGTTTCCTAGTACTCCTCTTTTCTTTTAAAATCCACAGTAACAGCATAAACACAATACTAAAACCTACTCCAGTGATGCATGAATTTTAAGTCAGAGCAAAAATTAATAAGAAAACAATAATTCAATCGCTTTCCTTTTTACATTTTTTTATTTTTGAGATTACATTATAATTACAACATCTACTGCTTCCTCTGAACCTTCCTGAACAACCTTCCTTGCTCTCTTTCAGACTCGTGGACTCTTTCTTCATCAATCGCTTTACATGCATATGTCTATGTATGTTTTCATTTGTAAAATGAGCAACAGTGTCTACTTTGTTCTCACCTTTTTTCCTTTCTTGTTTTCAGAAATACTATAAGTGAAGAAAATCAAGATGGTGTCATGCACTCTGATGGTAAGGGGTAACTTTTTTCAAAAAAAAAAATCTGAGCTGCATGTTTGAATTAATCAAATGTCATGGAATCATTTATGGCATTACCATCCCTTGTTTTATTTATGTCCCTAAAATCCTCATGACTCATTACCTTCTTTATCTCACTATAAGCAAACATCCTAAAATACTAATGTGTGTTTGCACATATTCTTCTCATGTGTTTGTGTGTGTGTATGTGTGTGTGTGTGTGCGATTTATATAAAAAACTATGTTATAGGTTTTCTTTTGAGAATACTCGGCATAAGGTTTTCCCCAGCCTCTCCCCTCATTGCTGGGTCCACATTTAGTCTCTTGTCACTAAGTACTGAAGGGGAACCTCTCACAGAGGGGGGCTTCCTCCTGGACCCTAGATTAGGTACAGACCACACCCAAGCACCTATTTTCACGGAGATCCTTTATTAAGCGAGAAAGAAAAGTTGAAGTGGCTGTTTTCTGACTCAGGCAGAAAACAGCAGCTAATAACCTTGCAGGTGACATTTTTAAGAGGAGGAAAAAGGAGAACCTGTTTTAGAATGGACTAGGATAGGGTGGTAAAGAAGATAGGGAATCAAGGAGGAGGAGAAGAGGCTTTGGGGGCTGCTGTTTGCTGGCTAGCTCACCACAGCTTGTTCAGCCTGCTTTCTTATAGAAGAACCCTCATGACTATCACGGTCCACCAATGGTACCACCCACAATGGGCGGGGTCCGCCACCATCAATCACCAATTAAGAAAATGCCCTACAGGCTTCCCTACAGCCTGATCTTATGGAGGTGTTTTCTTAATTGAGGTTCCTGCCTCTCAAATGACTCTAGCCTGGATCAAACTGGCATAAAACTAGCCAGCACTGTCCCTGAACTCTCTTTCCAATTCCCTTCTCCTATCTATGTGTTTTATTATGATTGCTCTTAATATTACTGACTTATTAATTACAGCATTATGTCTTGATATCTGATAGAATGTATATCACACTAAACTCGAGCAGTCTTTTTCTTAACTTTGTCACCTTGATTTGTTTGATACATGAAAGCAAATCCTAGAGAAAGAATGAGCCAAAAAGTATGGATAATTTGTGACTTTTTTTTTCTCTTATACACTTCACACAAGCACATACATCAAATGCACTATGCTTTATGTACAGCAGTAAAACGTAGTATAATTGTTTTTGACTTTGGCATTATCTTGTGAAAATTAATAAAATAATTTTGTAATTAAATTACAAGTGTTAAAACCACCAAGTATCTAAGGCACATTTTTGTGCCTTAAAGTGTAAGTTCTGTCATACTTTTAACTGATATGAGTATTTTATCTAATGGCCACATGTTGAAGTACTTCTTAATTACAATGTATTTTTTTTTAATCCTGTAGGTCCTGGAACTCTAGAAGAGGTCAGATATTTTTATTTCTCTTTTTCTATTGCTAAAATTGGAGCATTTAACAATTATTATGACTCACTTTCTATTGTTATCAACAGACAAATAAAAAGTTTTACAAGTATCAACGGTATTTTTCCATTACTAACCTTACTTAATTGGAATCCTTGAAACATTATATACCAGTCAGTATGCTGGCTCATGGTAGTGTAATGATGATTTCTGTCTGACTGCACAGCTAATGACTGAGCAAGATAGAGAATGAAACCTCCTTTGTTTGTTCCTAAGTATCTCACAATTCAAAAAAGAGAGAGGGAGAGAGAGAGAGAGAGAGAGAGAGAGAGAGAGAGAGAGAGAGAAGGAAAGAAGAAAGGAAGAAAGGAGAGAAAAAGAAAATTTCAAATAAACCAATTTAGGCTCAAATTCTATAAACTCATAAACATTTATTTTAAAAATAAGCTGTCAGTGAAATGCATGTATGATCTTTTGCAATAATCAAAGTAATAATTATCTGTCTTTCTTGCCAGGAACAAGAGAGTGAAGGAGAAACATACGAAGACATGTATGCATTACATTTGTTACCATAAGATTTTTTTCCTAAGATGAATACAACATTTTATAAGAGGGAGCATGGCTGTGCACAAGCACTAGGAAGAAAAGGCTTTATTTACATGTGTGATTGTAATCGCAAATGGAAGTTTCGTCTTGCCTGGTCCTGCAGCCATTTAGCCCCAAAGAAACACACAGAGGCTTATATTGATTATAAACTGTTTGGCCTTTTAGCTCAGGCTTATTACTAACTACTGCTTACAACTTAAATTAACCCAAAATTCTTATCTATGTTTAGTCAGATGGCTTGGTACCTTTTCTCAGTAAAGTATTTTCATCTTGCTTCCTCTGCCTGGTTGGTGACTGCATCTCAGCCTTTATTCTTCCCAGAATTCTCTTAGTCTGGTTGCCTTGCCTATACTTCCTGCCTGGCTATTGGCCAATCCGTGTTTTATTAAACAAATATGGGTGACAAATCTTTGCAGTTTACAAAGCATTATCCCACATGTAATGACATCCCTTATTTCACTATGGAGGACTAAAATTGATTTACCTCTCCACGCTACATAGGACTCTGGTGGCAAACTGCCACGTGAGACCTGCAAGCTGCTTGAGAGACAGTCAGGGACTAGACTCAAGAATTTGTATTTCCCCCTCTCAGTATCCTGAGGAAATGGATTCATTGTGTATGGTACCTTCTTCACTCAGACACAGAGGTACTGTGGGCTGTCGTTAGCATCCAGATGCCCAAGGTTCTAATCTGTTGGATAGATATGAAAAATGACTCCATGACTCCATAATAGAGTTCAAAAGAGACTGAGAAATTCCTTGGAAATTGTGTGAAAATAGGAGTTATCTTATTCAATCAAATCTTGAGCTCAGGTGTCTTAATTTTCTCTACCTAATTATTCAACCAGTTCTAACTAATCGCTAAATCAAAATTAATGTGAGTGCTTGTGAGCACATGCTCATGCATGTCCATGGAAATGAGAGTGAGAGAGGTCAACAGGCCATGAGGATGGGAATGGGGCTTCCTGATTAGTGCCTTCCCTATGGTACACATTGCAGGGGGGAGGAGCTGGGGCTGCCAGTGAATGTATCTGTGACTGAGAGCTTCCTGCTGGCTATACACATCTCGCATCTCACACACCTGGAATATTCACATCTTTAGCTTGTTGCCCCCACCTCCTCTTTAGAGACATTCTTCTGTAGTAGGTAGAAGTGGTTCCTGACCTACAGACACCTGCTCATTGTAGCCACAACTTAGCAATTTCTATTCACAGAGAATCGTCCAAAGAACGAGACAAGAAACGGGAAAAAGAGGAAAAGAAAAGGTTAGAGCTAGAACGGAAGGAACAGAAAGAAAAAGAGAAGAAGGAACAAGAACTAAAGAAGAAATTTAAGGTAAGAGCTCACTTGCTGAAGAGGACTGTGATAGCATCATTTGAAAGATTTTTGTAACATTAAAAGAAAATTTACTAAGTTAGAGAGTTTTTTAATCATTGTTTTGAAATAGTGCTTTTTGTTCAATACACCACCTTCTCTCTACCATCAAAAGTGAAACAGGACAAAAAATCCAAATAAAATTTAACTAGTTTATAATAGGCGGGTATGCAGGGATTTTATGTTGATTGAGGAAATGAGTACCTGATTACTGTGTGCCATGCATCTAGAACCACAGACATAGATGTTCCAATGGCGCATCACATAGTAGAGCAATGAACACAGTGTTCCTGGATGAACTACATTTCCTTGGAGCTACTAGAGATGCCGGCATCTGAATCTGAACTACACGTTTGCCTTTAAGCCCCATACTTACTGATTTCTAAGAGCTCCTGTCTCCCATGCCGCTTTAAATGTCAAAATTTCCAACCTCTATCTTCTCCGATTTCTGGTAATTTTGTCACCTCTATTGCCACTACCACTGTGCTTCGTGCATGATTAAACTTTCTTAGTAACACCATATTTGATGGCATAATCCATCTGGTGTGTTCTGGTGCCTGCCTCTGAAGTATTTGGGGTGCTGATCTGAATTACAAAACTCGTCTTCACTTTTAAAGAAATTCATATCATTTTATTGAAATAGTTACTTCTTTAAATATTTATTTTACTAGAGGATTTAATGCATGGAATTACAAAATATGACTCATGCCTAACTTCCCAGTACATTTGTTATGTTAAAACAAAAGTTCAACAGCATGATGCAAGGAAAACATCCAGCTTGGAGTCATTTGGATCAACGTGGATTCCAATCCCAGCTGCACATACAAGCTCTGTGCTCTTGGACTCACTACTTATCTCTTCCGAGGTTCAGATTCTTAGTCTTTGGAGTGAAAATAAGTGACATTTTCTATAGTTTGTTATGGGATTCAATGAAATATTATATAAAAGCCACTATATCTACTATGAATTTTCACAGTTTTTGAGAAAAAAAAAAAGCTTTTTTTAAGTACAAGCAAAGTTATGATTTCAATGTGAAAACTAAAACATTTTACTCACGCAGAATGCGTGACTTTCAGGATGTATATTCTTCAAGTAAAAATTAATTTAATTCATATATAGAGATATATAGTACTTTTCATGCAATATTGTTCATAGTTTTCAAGGATTTGAGATTAATTTGGAAAAATAAGTAATACAGTGTTTCACACATTCATTCAAATAATATTGCTAATCACTAAAACAGAATGTAGAAGTCATATCAACAGGTAGGAACTCAAGCATTGTCAAGTCTGGGACCTTATAAGCTATATCCCACCCAGGTGCTGATAGACACTAGAGTTTGTGAAGTGTGAGAGTCCATCAAAATCATAGCACATCGTAATTCAACTTAGACTTTTCTTTTTCTTTCTTTTTGCTGACATATCCATGTTTATTGACTACTAACACAAATTCAACATAATTAAGAAATTCTGCTGAAAAACTGACATGGTGATATGTCTTTCACTGATGTAGTAAGAAAATGCCAGCATGTAGCCAGTTCACATTCTGAATGTTGTATGGATTCAAGTCGAGTGCAGCTGCAGAAGGTCTGTAATTCAAATATTCAAATTACAGATTGTTCACAAACAGAAGCCAACTAGAATAAATCCAGCTCAACCCAAAGCCTTTCTACTTGGGTCTGCTTTTACTAATAAATCCTGTAACTGATATGGTAGTTGGCTATCAACGTAAGCTTTAAAAATGCTTTTGATGGTACATACTTAATATGTCACAAATTGATGACAACATAGACTCAACAAAACAGTTTCTCCCCCAACATAGCGCAATCCATCTATTTATTTATCAAAAGATGAAAGACACCAGTTTAGGAAGAGAACGTTCACATCTAGGGGCTCATGCTTAAGACATATTATACTGCTATTAATAAACCACCATGCTATCCAGAATATTAGTTGCAAAAACATTGCCTAGTATTTGTGTGTTTTTGAAGCTATTTCTAAAATGTTGTCTTATTTGTAGCAGATAGTATTTACGACAGGTTTATATTGAGCAAATGAAAGTACTGAAGGAAGGAAGGAACAGATGGACAGATGTAAGAAAGAGTGGGCTAGTGTACGTAAGTACGTACATGGTGCCCTTTGATTAGATGTTTTCTCCGGGGTGCTTATGCATCAGATCCCTGCCACTCTCTCATGATCCACAGATACATGTTCTCCTGTTCTTTGTTGGTCTTGTTGCACCTCTGTGATTTTCCCCTGACTCTTTCACCAGGAATGACAGTTGTGGGATTATTGTCTTTCACAATTATATTTCTTAGTGGTTTTCTGTTATGCTTTTCCGTCATCTTGTAGCTAACAGGCCCCATTCAAGTCATCCATCATGCAAAAGCTTGTTGTGATGTCAAAGGAGGAAAGAATGAGCTGAGCTTCAAACAAGGGGAGGACATTGAAATAATTCGCATCACAGACAACCCAGAAGGAAAATGGCTGGGCAGAACTGCCCGGGGGTCATGTGAGTGCACCTTCTCCTAGCCTTCAATGCTTCAAGGGCTGGTCTTCTCTCTCTCTCTCTCTCTCTCTCTCTCTCTCTCTCTCCCTCTCTCTCTCTCTCTCCCTCTCTCTCTCTGCTATTTCTGTATTAGTTTGGTTAGTTCTTTGAGAATTTCATATAACATATTTTTAGCATAGTCATCTTCCCTCCCCCACCTCTTCCTAGATTCAACCCCTCTTTCCTTTTCAACCAACTTTGTGTTATTTTGTTTCCTTTTTCTTTTCCCACCAATTCCAATTTACACTACCCAAATATTCTTGAATGTGTGGCCTTTCTCTGGAGTGTGGTCTATACCAGGGGCCATAAGCTTAGGGAAAACTGACTCTTCCTTCCCCAACAACTAACAACGATTAGCTGCTTCTTGGTCGAGGGGTGGAACTTCACGCCTAACTCCTGACTCATGCTGGGATTTGAGCTGGCCGGGTCTTGACAGGTCTGGTGAACTCTGTCGTAGCTGCTGTGAGTTACTATGTACAGCTGCCCTGCTGTGTCCAGAGGACAGTTTCCTTGTAATCATCCACCACTTCCAGCTCTTACACTCCTTCTGCTCCTCTTCTGTAAGATCCCTGAACCTTTGAAGGACACCCACCACCAAAGGCACCTCATTAAACACTAAAAAGATGTCTTCGCTTGCAATCTTGGCTTACAGACCTCTGCATAGCCACAAGTTTTATGTGCTCTGTCAGAGGCTTACTCTATGGTACTTTTAAGTGAGCCAAGAATCAATTTGAAGATTCTAAAGTGATTGGCATAACACATTTCTTCTAACGGAAGTGGAGAACTTAATGGCCTTCATTTCCGATTTTTCTCTCTCTACTTACTCAGTAGCATGTTCCTAACATGAGGCATGTGGGTCTGAAAGGCTCTAATGTTAATTCAAAAGGAACATATGGCTAGGCAGATCACAGGCTCTCGAAGAGAACACGAGTGTGCAAGCACATAGCCTGTGAACCAAACCCAGAGTTTTGGGCATTTGCGGCTCCATTCCCACCCCTAAAGAGACACATGAAAGAGTAGATGAACAACTGATACTTAAATTATAACTCTAAAGTGTTTAAGTGCCGATTACCTGGACCCTTTTCCCTTTTGGTAGATGGCTACATTAAAACGACGGCTGTGGAGATTGACTACGACTCTCTGAAGCGGAAGAAGAACACTCTCAATGCTGTTCCATCGAGACTTGTTGAAGATGACCAAGAAGTCTACGACGATGTGGCTGAGCAGGACGCTCCCAACAGGTGTGTGACACACAGACTGTAAGCTGATCACTGTCCCCTTGCCAGACACCATGTATTTCAAGCCAATTTTACCTTCCATGTCACCGAATGCTCTCAATCGCTACACTAAATCACCATGTACGACAACCCTTGCTTGAGTGGAAGGCTATGGGAAACTCCATTGTCTTTTAATTTACTTGTTGGTGACATGTATCTCATTAACTTGATACATAATGGGCTGTATAATTGTGTTAAACATGTTGTATACTACAAAACATTTTTAGAATATTTATTTATGATTTGTACTTAGGGACATGTCTAAATAAGTATGATTCGGGAATCTATGGAGTAGACGATACAAAGTGTAGTTCCCTTCTTTTCACCCTTCAATCTCTGTGTCTAAATGCATTTCCTGTCATTGCTTGAAAATATAACAGGAAAAGAACAGCCTCCCCTCCATTCCTACTCCAGTATAGTCCTTAAAAGTCAAATGTCAGTCCACCACGATCCCTAGATAATGATTAAAGGTCCACTTTCCAGTATCTGTTTTCTCAACTACATTATAGTGCCATTTCCTCCTACAAAAATAAGCACACTTTTATAGAGCAGAGGAACAGAAACAGAACATCATGATTAGAGAAGGAAACAGGGCATCTTCTCCCTCGTGCCCATTATTGGTTTCTCATGACTAGACTGGAATACCTGAGACCTTGGGCTTATAAAGAGGAAAGGTTTATGGATCACGTGATCTGTAAGTTATAGTCTGAGATCAAGCCAAGTGCACACACTACATACAAATACAAATAAATTCACGCTATAGATGAAATGAGCAAATGGTAACTCTGCTCCTAGCATATGACATTCTCGAGGCATTGGATATGAGACTCTCCAAGAGGAAACACATTCCCTAGGAACATCAGCCACCCAGAATGTACTTGATTCTAAGTATTGCCTCATGCGCGGATGCGGCAGGGAAAATAGAAATGAAGATGAAAAGTGGAGAGGGTGCATCAACTTCTCCACAAATCAACTTCTCGAGTGTGGTGCACCAAGCTTTTCTACAAAGTTCTTTTGACAACGGTATGCTTTTATTTCTAAGTTGACCAAAGATATGCATCAGGCTAATTTCTCCCACTAGCCTGTAAAAGGAATGTAAAGATTGGTACTATTATATGGTTGTCCTGTATGTTGATGATGTCAAACTTACTGCTGTTGCTGGCACTTTACCCAAAGGTCAAAATGGGGTTGGGGTTGTAGCTAGGTTCAAAAAGGGCTAAGCCCTTGGAGTCCTGGCTTCTTTCCCGCAAGATGGTAGAACTGGACAAATAGACAATGTCTAGGTTTTCCCAGTGCCCACGCTTGGCTCTCACATGACTCACACAGGAGATACGGGGCAGAACACATAACACTAGATGCTAAAACAGAAAAAGTTCTATTAGGGAAATAAGTTTTTTTTTAAAAAAAAAAAAAAGGTTATCTGGAATTAGAGAAGTAGGGAACACATCTTATAAAAGTTCCATCAAGGTCACAGCTTAAAAGTTTTTTCATAAAATAAGATATAATGATGCTAGATTAAGAGTTAGATACTGTGGTTCTAAGATGCTGAAGAGAGTTGAATTAAAGGCAATAATAATTGTCCTAATTGACTCCTAAAATAACACACAGTAGTTTTTAAAGTAATTTTAAATTTAATGTGTAATTACTGAAAATTGCTTCTTGGGAAGTTTATTAAAAGCACGCGGCATAATTGCTGTGAACTATAGTACCCTAACTCATTGGTTCTTCCTGGTTGTATATTGGCTATGTTATATTGCCTTGTCGTGATGCATCTACTACAATGAACGTCCTTGCCCTTCAAAGGTTTCGTCCAAGTTTTAAAAAGAATGTTAATGTATACAGTCGTCTCAGTTTTTTAATTTCCCTTCTTGAAAACTGAACAATTCATCCATTTATTATTTCTGCTTTGTTTTCAGCCATGGTCAGAGCGGAAGCGGAGGTAAGACAAAAGCTTTCTAGGTTTGCGGCCTTGAACATGTTTGAGTATGTTCATGCAAACACACTATTTGGCTAACAGTAAGAGGGATTTTTTTATATTTCTAGACATAAAGGATTTTAAATGCAATTTTATTGCTCTATATCCATTGTACATGGTACTGATTTCTATAAAATATTTTTGTACAAGTATATAATGAACTTGATCATATTTCCCCAACCTTCACCTTTCCTCCTCTTTCTCTCCCCACCCCTTGGTCACCTTTGTTCCCCTAGACAGTTTCTCTTCTGCTTTCTTGTCATACACACATATATGATCTTATGTAGCTATACAAAACCTAAGAACCAGAAATGAAAGAACTAGTCGGATTTTTTTTTAAGATTTATTTATTTATTATGTATACAGTGTTCTGTATGTATGTATGTATGTATGCCTGCATGCCAGAAGAGGGCACCAGATCTCGTTACGGATGGTTGTGAGCCACCATGTGGTTGCTAGGAAATGAACTCAGGACCTCTGGAAGGGCAGCCCACAGTGCTCTTAACCCCTGAGTCATCTCTCCAGACCGAATTAGTGAGATTTTAATGTGGAAAAAGGATTGACCAGGAGTCTACAAGCCAGATTCCAGTCCTGGTCACCAAGTGGCTGTGAGGCAGTCACTTGTGTCTTCCGGGTTTGCCACTGATTCTAGCGTGACTCCACTCCCAGTGTGCCTGGGATAGTCTTGGTTCCTGCAGACTGTCTGAGCACAGTTGAAAATAAATAATCCCCCTTACTTCCAGAACTCTCGTTGTCTAGACGGCAGACTGTGTAGCTACCTTGGTGATGCCTGCTAAAGACACAAGGCAGCAAAACCAAAAGCTCAAATTCTCACACCGAAAATTACATTTCAAGGTCATTTTCCTGCGCGTAAAAGGTTGCCAACAAATATGTGTTGATATCACAAAGTTCCAAAGAGAGAAGCATAACAAATGAAACAAGAAGGGGTTTTAGTCTACTATATATGTACTAAAATGTGACCTCTCTTTGCGGAGTTTCAGTTACTCTTAGTGTTTGTCAAGTTATCGTCCATTCTATTGATCTTTACCAGCGATAAAGATCAGTCTTTTTGTCAACATCCGCTCACTGTTAGCTGAATTTTTCTAACTGCCTCCTCACTTCTCTTTTTTCATGAATTTGACTTCCTATTCTGTTTTATAGATTCTACTAATTCTCACACATTCGTTTTACATAACGTCCAGAGTACCCATCACCATCACTCATTTCATTATTATAGTTTTGGCCCTAAAATGTTTTAAAATAATCTAGAAAGCAACTGAATTATTACCCATGTGGTGCTGCGAAATTTTAAGCTTTCCTACTGAAACGAATAATATAAAAGCATTCTGCTTTCTGCATTCAGATAGGGGAGAATTAGTAGCAAAACCAGAGTGACATATATTTGAACGAATTGAGAAACTGACAAAAGGTTTCCTCCCTCATCCAAATGAAGGTATGTTCCCACCGCCACCAGATGATGACATTTATGATGGGATAGACGAGGAAGATGCTAATGATGGGTAAGGATAATCACTGAATTGTCTTTTTTTTCTTGCAAACTGTTACATCTATGGAAATCTAGTGTTCATTTCCAGATAGAATTAAAAAGTAGAAATTACTCCTTTTAGTCAGTTCTAAAATTGACAGTAAGGGTAAATCAAGAATGATAATTGTATCACACTATAAATGAAATGATAGATTGGGGAGAAAACTCAATTATGTAGAAAAAGATGAAATGAAAAGAGGGCAAATTACAAGTGTTGTGAATGTTTTTACAAACATTTTCCAATCATTTATCTATTAATCAATTATTTACTTTTACAACTATCTCTGGAGTTTGTCAGTTACATGCCTGGAATGTTTTCTGCATAATAACATAAGTCTAGCACGAATGTCAGGGCTCACACCTGTAATTCTAGCACTCTAGCGGTTTAAACATAAGGATCACATCAACCCAGGAGTTCAAGACCAGTCTGAGCTGGTCAATAAACCCCAAACTAACCTGGGCTGCAGGGTGAGATCCTGTTACAAGTTAATTGAGACCACTTGCTATCTATGGTATTGAATAGCTAATCCTTTGCTTAATATTAAGTATCTTTATTTTGTAATAATAATTTTTTAAAAATCCTTTAAGTTAAATTTTCTTTACATTTTAAAATAGAGTATTTAAGATGTAGTAATTATTTTACTTTCATCACAAGTAATAGCAAGTAGACATTTTAAACTTAATTCTATCTGACTTGACCTAGCTTTACGGTTTAGGAACTTAGTTAGGTAAATCTTACTGGATAAGTAAAAAATGACCCGCCTGATGAAAGAAATATCCACTCACCAGAATTTATACTTAGCAGCACCAAATTATTGGCTACGATGACCTACTTACTGGTCAGCATAGTGTAATTATTTAAACTCTGAATGTCCGCACAATGTCTTCGTGGTCGGCTGACTATCACATTCTGCTCGATGCCTGATGCTCCAAAGACCCATGCTGCAGGGCGAAGAGAAGACCAGCACGTGGTCCTGGGGGATTTTGAAGATGCTAAAGGGAAAGGAGGACAGGAAGAAAAGTGTCCGAGAGAAACCTAAAGTCTCTGAGTCAGACAGTAATGAAGGTTCATCGTAAGAGTCAACTGACCGCCTTCAGTGCACAATAACTACACTAATACCGGTTTAATTGGATGCTACTAATATCCTATAACCAATAAGCACATCCTGATGCCCTGACACCACTTCACTGTTATTTTCCATTAATTATCTTACATTCATCTCGTAGTGTGTATTAATTACACGAGAGGACCCCGGTTACGCTGAAATTATCATGTGATTCTAAAGATATACTTTACTCTCCTTGCAAATTTGCACAAGGACACACGCACGCACACATGCACACACTCATACACACTCAAGCACACACAGTCATTCATGAGCGTGCATGCTACTTAGGATTTCTCCCACCTGTATGACTCTATCTAAAACTTTACTTTTGCAGCCTATATTTTACATTATACTTATTTCTAGTAAAAGTTAATTTGTTAAAATATAGGACATAATTTAGAATTTTTCTCTGACTATAATATTGAAATGTTTATAACCGTTCTACAATAGTGATTTATCTTAATGATATACCTATATAGGCTTATTCTCAGCATTTCAATTTTATCTAAATAAATTTATCTAATACATAAATTTTCTCTCCCCTTCTATCCTCAAAACAGCCCCTCGGTATAAATTCCATGTATATCAATTTGAAGAATCCTAACCACAAAGAGCCTTTTCATTTCGCCTTTTGAATATGTTCATCACATTTCACTGAAATCCTTTTGAGTTGTTTTCACAAACGCATTCTTAATTTTATCTGTTTTGGTAGAGTATCAGAATAGCAGTCAATAAATGGTACACTTGCAATTCTGAGAGTACATAGCAAGAAGTGTTCTCTTGAGCAACGTTGCTCAAATATCACCTTTACCTGGGGTAAAGACATTTTCCGTCCTCTCTTCACATTACCAAACTCTGAGTTGAGGTTATTTGAGTGAATATTCTCATCTTCTACTTTAACCAGTTATTTCTGTGCTATACATGAATCTTTCAGAAGTGTGTTTGTGTGTGTATGCGTGTTTGTGTATGTGTATGGGAATGTGTGTGTGCGTGTGTAGCTGTCATACTTCAGGAAATAATAAAAACAAATATCCTTTTCTGCTACAACTAAATACCACCTAATCTTGGTTCCCTCCCACCCCTCTCCATAGCTCTCACTGCCTGGTTGAAGTATACATTCCTTTCTTGTTCATCATTGTCCAGTTTGGGGTAGATATGTGCATACCAGAGAAATGAGGTCACATGCCAATGACTGCTGTTGATTTTGACTCTGTAACTTCAGTCCTCAATTCAAATAAACAGTTTGGGCCAGACCTACGGACAGCAGGAGGCTACAAAATACAGAGTCCATGTAATATACTCTGGTGTGAAAATATGCCCAAAGTATAGAGCAAATCTGAAATATTGGTCTAGTGACTGGGTAGCATAAACTGATTGTTTATGTTCTGGATGATTTTTGAGCAACAAAATTACTTCAAAACTAATCTCGGTAAATGCCAATCGATGGTTAGAGACTAGTGGGAAATGAAGGATGAGAAAGGTATGGTGATCACCAGATTAACCATTTCACACCTCTACAATATTGCCTCTCACACTTCTCTCACATGTAAAGGGATTATTTCCAAGGTTCATGTTACTTTGATTTTAACTGTCCTCTCATTTTTGTTTTTTTTTTCAGTTTCCCTTCTCCTCCTAAACAACTGGGTATGTAATAAAACCTGTGTGTTTTACAAATTATTTCTTACACCTGAGATAGTGAAGCATTGAAGGTCATCAAACATTGAATGTACCTGCTTTAAGGCCTGACTGCAAATGATAAATATGTCACATTGCATAAGCAATTTCACTCGGGATGATTCCAATGACCCAATAATAGAATAACAGACTCAAAAAATAAACACATAAAAATAAAAATATTCACCTATCAGATACTTTTCATTGTTGTGATAAAACACCACAATATTTCTCCCTGAAGCAGCATGGCCAGGCTCGTCACAGCTGTTGATCAACGTCTGTATTAGTTAGTTTTCTATTACAATGATGATGCACTTGGTGAAGGCAAGGAGGCTCAAGCAGGAAAACTGAGGGCTGGCACCTTGAGCCTCAAGTAGCAACAGAGAGTGAACTGGCAATGGTGCACATCTTTTCAACTCTCAAAGCCACCTCCAGCGACAAATAGCACCAAGGCCATACCTGCAAAGCCTGCCCAAACAACAGCACTAACTGGGGACCAATTATTCAAATGCTTGTGACCATAAGGTACATCCTGTTCATACCAGCACAGATAGCTTCAAAGTATTGATCTGAAAGCCACTGAGGCATAGTGATAAGAGGCTAGTGATGGACACCAGTGTCAGCTGAGCCCACCCCAATTCAATCCATGCTGAATATACACAGTTCCTGCTTGAAAGTGTGTAAAAACATGCAAAAGACACACAACCAGACACTTTCAGATAGTCTCCCTTTGACTCTTTGGGGGAAAAGGATAACAATGTCTTCTTTGTTCAATTTCTATCATCATTTTGAAAATCCTGCTGAGACAGATCTTTGCAAGATTTTTTTTTAAAGTTTCTCTGAATAAAATAAAATGTTGTCTCCAAAAGTATTGAAAGGCTTTTTCAAAAGTTTACAAACTTAAACTAATGTTCTTTTAAGAATACTGCTGGTGGTGGCGCACACCTTTAATCCAAGCACTTGGGAGGCAGAGGCAGATGAATCCTGATGAGTATAAAGACAGCCTGATCTACAGAGTGAGTTCCAGGACAGCCAGTACACAGTGAAACCCTGTTTCAAGAAACGAGAGAGAGAGAATGGGTGGGGGGGGCGGGATGTCAAGCTGGTGGCGTGGCTCAGTTGGTAGCACTACTTGATCTCCAGCACTTCCATAAGCCAGGAATTGGGACCATTCTAATTCAGTCCACCATACCAGCCATGGCGAGTTTTCTGTCAGTGTTGTTTCTCATCGGTACAATCATACTATCACTGTCAGGTGATAAATTAATATGGAGCAGATCATTAAAAGAAGATGGTGGATGATAGATGATACACACAGCTAGATGGGTAGATGGGGGGGGGGAGACTGACACAGAGCTATACAGATAGGATCGGCGACATAAAGAATTTCTGCCTACTTTCTGCTGCCAGTGGCCAAGAGAGTTGACTTCTTTGGCCACGGTTTTTAAGTCTCGCCATTCATTCATTGATTAGATCTGTAGGATTTTATAGTCACAGCACTATTCTAGGGTTAGGGTTGTTGTTGTTTTCCCCTCAAATAATGATAGTTGTAATCATATTCACTGGTTTCTATTGTTGCTTTGTTCACTTATGGATTGTAAGATAAGAACGTCCCCCCCCCCCCGCTTCCTTCCTATGAGAAGCAGACAATGCCTTTAATGGAAATACGTACAGTCCCTGAGAAATCTCTCACTATCTAGGAAGCAGTCTTTGGGTTTTAATAACATCATTAAATGTTCACATCAAAATTTAAATTAGCGACACTTCAATATTTGGTATTCTGTCTCTTATTAGATGTGGGAGAAGAAGTTTACGACGATGTGGATGCCTCCGACTTCCCTGCTCCACCTGCTGAGATGAGGTCATTAAAATGCTTTGGTTACAATGAAATGTTGACGTGGAGACTACTCAGCAACACTCAACTGGAGTAAAACTCCAGCGCGGTGTGTGTGCCATGTGCGGTCATGTGGTCTCTGCTCCCCTTTGCTCAAGCTCCGCTTATTTCTGAGCACAGCTCCTGAGCACAGCTCTCAGCTCAGAGCTAGGTCTATTAGCAAGTTATCCTTAGCCCCTCCTCTACCCTTCCCTGTCCTTTCTCCTGACCTCAGACACTGGTTCTGCCCCCTGTTCCCTGACTAATCTCTGCTGGTTGCTGGTGACTCACTGCTGTCTGTATTCCCTAATTTACTGGGAATGTATACTTGAGATTCTGTTCACAGTAATTTCATGATTCATCTTCTCTCTTGTGTTTACTCCTTTCCCCAACATTTTTTTCCTTGAATGTACTTCCTTTCTATCTCAGCCCTCATCATTCTTCTTCCCTGTCCTCCATCAATGGTTTCCTTTGTGAAAAACTACAGAATTTGTTGCTTAAAAAGGACTTTCATGTATGTCCTTTGGGATTCTCAAAAGTTTTATGCAAATTTCTTTTCTAAGTAAACAGTGACCACTAACTTCAGTTTATCTGAGGCCTGCATTTAACTTTAAGGTTAAAAGCACATGAAAGTAGTTAATATCAGTTAGCCCCAAAGGAGTGCCCTTTGAAAATTCTTCTGAGGTAGAATACAATGTACTAAAATACTTGCTCATTTTTTAATAGCCGTGTGAAATGACCTGTGTCCAAAAGCTAGGACACTCCAACAGTGCCCTCAAGAAAGAGATGAATGGGGAAAAAATGGTATACTTGATTAGTTAAAGGGCAAAACTTACATTAATAATTTGAGTCATGCCTGCTGAGCTGTACTTAAGAATGCTTGAGAGAACGGCAAGTATTTAGTCTCACCACATTAAGCCAATTTTACTAAACTAGAAACAGTATCAAGATCAGAGAAACTGAAGGCTAAATGTGTCCCTGGTCACAAAATGAAAATCAAGGTCTACAGGCAAAACAAGCAAGACAGATGAAAGAAGGCTTGCCTCCCCTTAGCTGTCTGTGACAGGGAAATCTGTCCTTAGTGAATTGTTCAGCTTAACACTCCTCACCACCAGGACTTTGTGCCTGACCCTGATGGACTTCAATACATATTTCTGTCTTGTATTACTCTGGAAACATCCCCACATTCCATGAGCTAGCTAGCTCTCCGGGAACCCAGAATCCTATCCTGGCCTTTTTTTTTTTTTCCCGAGGAAAACAAACTCCAGCTGATTAAACTTGATCAAAGATGACTTTCCCCCCTACCCATTGCTTATTTTCAGAAATTAAAACAATTCTATATTTTAAACACAGTATTCTATTTTGGAATAAGTTATTTTCAAAAATAGCTTGTGAAGCATTTTCAGCATTCATTCTTGCTCTGATCATCCCAGAGAGCTAATCTAGGCCAGCAATTTCACAAGTGCCCAGATCATGAAAGGCAACAGATCCTAGGGATGGACGCAAGACCGGAGGTAGAATGGTCCTCATTCTTCTCACAGTGAACAAGATAAATACTAAAAAAGAAAGAAAAGAATCAAACCAAACATTTTAAATAAGCCTCAAGCAAATCTTTTCTAAATAATCGAAATGAAAATATCAGTGTCACATTTCCACTATTCACAAATATTCTAGTACTTAAAAAAAAATCTTCCTTCTACAGGCAGCCACACTTCTCCTTACTCTGCCTTGAACTTTTAGGTCCCAGTGAGCAATTTAATGAACTCTCCAAGATAAAGCACGACTATAGACTATATTAGCTATTATCTTTAAGATGCCCCCCCATGACCAGCACTTCCTGTCTTCCATGCTGCCTCCATTTATTTCTGTAATATTTCTCTGCCGGAAATCAAGTCTAGGGTGTGCTGTGTGAATGCTCCCCCACTGAACTCCGTCTCCTCTCTTACAGCTCCATTTTAATTAGATGTGAAAATACTAAGTTAGATACATTTTATAAGCCATAAAATCTCAGTTCTTTAAAAAAGCACTTTGATCCTTTTTAGTAAACATTATCTCTGCCATTCAGCTTTCTACAAAGAAAATACACGGGGCTCAAGTACAGGTTTAATCACACGAAACCTTATTCAGTTTTATGATGGGTTCAATATGACCTTTCACTTACAGTTTAAATCGTGTGTATTATTTAATGATGGACCCCTTCTACATGTCAGAAACCTATAATTGATTATAACAATCAGTACTAAATTTAAAACAACATTGAACAAAAAAATATTATTATATGATGGGCATGGTGGGATATGCCTTTAATCCCAGCATTTGGAAGGCAGAAGCAGATGGCAGATGGATCTCTGTGAGTTTGAGGCCAGCCTGATCTATATAGCAAGTTCCAGTGTTTATTGTAAGACTTTGTCACCAAAAAAAGAGAAGAAAAAAAAGCAAAAACAAAAAACAAACCATTGAAAATTTTAATGTTAAGAATTAAGTCTCAGACTGGGTGGTGGTGGCACATACCTTTAATCCCAACATTTGGGAGGCAGAGACAGGTGACCTCTATGATTTCGAGACCAGTCTAGTCTACAGAGGAATTTCCAGGACAGCCAAGGTTGCACAGAGAAACCCTGTCGCAAAAAAACAATACAAAACAAAAAAAGAGAATTAAGTCTCTACTATGATCTATTATTTTCTGTTTCTCAAAGTGTTGGTTTATGTATGTTCTGTTACCCTAGTCAAGGAATTAATGTTGGAAAGACGAAAACAGAAGAAAAAGATCCCAAGAAGCTAAAAAAACAGGAAAAAGAAGAAAAAGATCTCAGGAAAAAATTTAAGGTATGTATTAATTAATACCATTCAGAGATCAAAGTACTGATGAAAAAATCCAAAAATTTCAAAATGACAAAATATATTCTTTTAGAGTATGGTTAACAATACTAACACTATCTTTCATAACTTTTTTTGTTTCAAATATGTTGTAAATTTAAATTTATTCCTACAATAGATTAAGCAAGCAAGCATGCTAATATCCTCCACGCTGTGATGACCATTTAAATTTAGATGTCCTTTGACCTTTGGTAAAGTGATAACCTATAAATTATTGTTATGTGAAGTTGGTGAAGTTATGAGGTGTCTTAGTTGTTGTCTCATGGCTATGATAAAATCCCCAGATAAAAGCATCTTGAAGGACAAGTAGTTTCTTTTGGCTCACAGTTCAAGGCTACAGTATGTCATGGAAAAATCACAGAGACGGGAGCTTAATGGGGCTGGTCTCGTTGCATCTGCAGTCACAAGGCAGAGAGACACGAATGCATGCCTACCAGAGTGTACCTTGTTTTCTCCATTTGATACAGTCCAGTGTCCCCTGACCAGGGACTAGCCCCACTCATTAGTAACATAGTTCTTCCTTTATTAATTAACATACGCAAGATAACCCCACAGGCATGCCCAGAACAAAAACATTCTTAATATATTTGTCAATGAATGAATTACTGTAATAATACGTATCAGTGATTTCCATGTTTATTTATTTCAGTACGATGGTGAAATTCGAGTTCTCTATTCTACGAAAGTTGCTTCCTCCATAACTTCTAAAAAGTGGGGAGCTAGAGAGCTGCAGATAAAACCCGGAGAATCGCTTGAAGTGATTCAAAGCACAGACGACACCAAAGTTCTCTGCAGGAACGAAGAAGGCAAATGTAAGTCCCTGCTGTAGCCACACTGTGCGTCCGACGGTTGGTAGTTGGCAGCGATCGCTCATCTCTACTAACTCGCTTTGTTCTGCAGTGTATGGATTGTAGGACATATTAAAAAACTGGAGATTCTGGTATGCTGAAATCAATAAATTTTACTTTAATGTCTATAAGGGGATTTTGAGATTATAATAGAATTACATCATTTCCCTCCCTATCTTTCCTGTGTCCAACCTCTCCTTAGTACCCCTGTTGCTCTCATTCAAATTCATGGCCTCTTTCTCTCTCTCTCTCTCTCTCTCTCTCTCTCTCTCTCTCTCTCTCTCT